GCGCTGGCCGAAAGGATCCGGGTGCCGGCGCAGACTCAGCTACACGGTCTGCATCCGACAGAGATGCAGACCGTGTAGCTGCTCCCGCAAGTCAGGTACGCGGTCCTCGACCGCGTACCTGACTTGTGAGCTGGCTGCCGGCCACAAAGTACCGACTCACGGGCCACGGGCCGGTACATTCGCCGCCCTGCCGGGGGCTCCTAGGTGACAAGGGTCTTGGAGACCACTGATGTCTCCATAAAGAGGACCTCTCACTTCTTTTGCTATCACATATGGGGATTTCTTAGCCCCCTATGTGATAGCAATAAAGTTAAGTGAAAAAAAAAATAGGAAACAAATGTAAAGTTTCCCCAAAAATGTTTTTTTAAGTTACACATAAAAAAGAATAAAAAATAACTAATTTTTTTAAAGTCCCCACCCCTACATACACGCATGTAAACATGCGTCAGGTGCGCATGCCTGCGAAAACGACGATTGCCCATTACGCCGCACATGTTACTTATCGCCGCGAACGTCGCAGTGAGAGCAATCATTTTAGGGCCATCAATCACTGATAACACTAAACTGATGAGCTGTAAAAGCTTTTAAAGCGTCGCCTATGGCCAATTTTGGGTATGCTAGTTTTTTGCAATTTCGCGAGTGCACGCAATTTTTAAGCTTGACATGTTTGGTGTCTATTTACCCGACGTGAGCCCGTCTTTTATATTTTACCAAGAAAGTGGGTAATATTAGTTGTTTTATAACATATTGATATAACATATCAAAATTTTCAGTAATTTCTCCTGAATATAGTAAAAAATAAAACCCCCAGTGGTGATTAAATACCACCAAAAGAAAGCTCTATCTGTCCCCAAAAAATGGTATGAAATTCATGTCAGTACAACGTTGCATGACAGAATAAATGTCAGACAAAGTACCGCAGCGCTGAATACTGAAATATGGCCTGGCAAGGAAGGGGGTCTAAACACCTGGTCTTCAAGCGGTTAAAAAAGCATGAGGTCTGGCATGAATTTGTAGGGGAACCCCACACATTTTTGTTTTACATCGGGGCCCCCTAAAAGGTCTGGTATGAATTGGGAGGGGGACAGGTGAACTTTGGCTGTGCCGAGCCGAAGCATGTGCATTCGGCTTAGCTGTTTACATTGGCAGACTTCGACTGCTGTCCGGGCTATTGTGATTAGCGCATACGGCTGAACAGAAGGGTTTCTGCAGCCGAAGCGAGCCGAAGGATTAGCTGAATCTTTTGGCTCTTTAGTGAAGAACCTCCTAAATGTTCCCTTTAATTCCAGAATCTGCCCACAGTGTAGATATGTACCATCTCCTTTTTGTAAATCACACACAGGCCGTGCTGATTCTGTGAAGTTTTCTCTGAACTACATTCAGATTTTCTCCTTTTTTCGATTCTCTTATCTCCTACCACATCATTATGTGTGATGGAAGTGGTGCAGTACTTCAAAGATAATACTTTAGTGTTACGGCTCTCTGACACGCCACATGTAAAATATCAATGACTTTGTGGAAGTGGCTTTTCTCATAATTGATTACCAATATGAAGGAGAGTTGAGAAAACAAAAAGGCAAAATCCTGGATTCCGATTAAGTTTTGTGAGAGCCAAAATGTGAAAAAGTTTATCAGCTACTGTTTCCAAAAACGAATAAAATAATTACAAATATAAAAGAATATACCAAATTCCTGCATCTTAGAATGTATATCTATGATTAGCCAGCCTGTACAAGATATCACTTGATAGTGGCTGTTTATGCAATGTGCTAAGACCCTATAAATCTGCTATAGGAGAAGACAACATCCACACCCCTATTCCCTTTAGTTAAAGTGACACTAAACTCAGGAGTTAAATCTTAAAAAAGCATTCAAGTCCCTTAACTATTAACAGAAATGTATCTTATTTGTGTATCACTCGGCTGTAGATCCTCAAATCATCTCTGAATTGGTGCCGACACTGTCCTTCCTTCTGGAGGGGGGCTACTTTTGTTCCCTATGGTCCCTGTGTGTGTTGTAAAGTAGTCAGCGCTCCAAATTCACTCCTGTGATGGACGTCAATATCAATACAAATAAGTCAACTAAACATGAGATTGTAGTCCATCCAGGGCCGGATTTACTCTCCCTGCTGCCCCAAGGCCAGGTACCACAATGCGCCCCCCTCCCCGCCA